ACTGTCAGTGTTAGTAAATATCCATTGACAACAGTAATTTTAATCCCTCGTAATATTGTACAAAAATATGAAAGGGCAGCAGGGAGTAGAAATAAGGATATTAAAAACAGAAACCGTATTACTGATCACACGAGTAACCTGCTGTCCTCACCGCCACCACCTTACCAACACCACCCCCCCTCAACAACCACCACCACCACGATGAAGCAAGAAAACCATACAATTATCCTCACGATTTTGAAGCCACTGAGGAAAGCTGATGAAGACAGTAAATGAACTAATTCGTCTATAAAAATTCCCACAACAGGAAACGCCAAATTAAAAAAAATTCGCTGTAAAAAAAAAATCTAAACTGAGAAAACAGACAAAACCTTCAAGAAAAAGAAAGTCAAAGAAGTCAAAGAAAGTCAATACTGTACTGTAATTAAATTAAAACTTTCTCCATCTACCCGGCAGAGAGAGGTAACCCCGTATATATTGCCTACACTTGATTGTTACTGAAAGTGTCGAGTCTCCCTGATTGTATCCAGTTCCTCTGTGTTATTCATGAAGGAACAATTTAACCTACAGCTCATGGTTGGTTTAAGACGCATGTTTTTCCCTACAGAGTAAATTAGAGTTCCTTCATTCTGCCTTTATATGGCGAAACACTAACCTAACCTAAACCTCTCTCGGACGGTGGTAACTTAAAATCCTATAATTCGCAAGTATTACTGATCTTACACTCGTTATAGTCGAGAATTGAGTGTTCTCAAGTATTTCCCGATTATCGACAGATTTTCATTCAAACGTTTTTCTCAAGATGTTAAAATCGTCCCCCAGAGAGAAACGTTTCACACAGCACGTTTGTATATCTCGTCGTCCTCATTAAACCGAACACATTGTCTCTTCACTCCCCCAGGATGGCTTTGAGGCTGTGTAGCACATTTCTTAGCCCCCTGGGAACAATGGCTTAACCCTTTGATGAAAACGATGGTCTAACCCTTTAAAATAACTGGGTTAACCCTTTAAGTAGAATGGTTTATTTAACGCTCTAATATAATAGGTTTAATCTTTTGAGAAGAATGGTTTAACCTTCCGAAGGTGTAACACTATCTTCTTCACAGTGTTAAGATAACTTGTACCGTGACTACCCCACCATCTGGGAGGTGCCGACAAACTTCTCCTAAACTGTTGTAATTATGAGTTATTGTGTGTTTTTCTTTCTGGTGTTTAGTGCTGGACAGGTGAATGAATATCGTGTTTTTTAGTCAACATTGTCCTTAAAGTTGTCTTGTATTCCATAAATCTTCAAACTTTAATAATCATCTACATTATTCAACGTTGAATGAAACCTCCATAAAACGGACTTCTCTCCATATAAAATATATTAGATGGGGATTTCACACCTAATGAACCCTCGATATAACGGACTATATAATATTGGTTACCAGCGCCAGTCACCTAACCACCAAACTTCATTTCCTGAACAGTAACAAAATATTGGCTCTTGTAAACACGATCAACCTGTTAACGGATATTGACAGGAAATAGAAACAGCCAAAGTTAAAGTGAACATTAACGGCCTACTAATGAATAAAAAATATATACACCGAGATGGAAGTCCATTAATGGTTGGGGGGAACGATTAAATAAACACATCAGTAACCTTGCTAATTTAGTGACTTGCAGTGTGTGTGTGTGTGTGTTGGTGGTGGTAGTGGTGGAGAGGCGGAGGGAGAGAGAAGACATTCGGAATAGTGATCTTCTTTCCCATTCAATTAGTTACTCCCCATAAGACTGCCTCTCTCTCCTCCACCCCATCCACCTACCACAGTAATGCCACACCTTACCTACAACAGTTAACAATAATCGTAAGTCCTGATGGAAAACAACTTCTACTGCTCGTCATCTTAACTCCTTCACTTACCCTCAGAGTCGACACTGTACACAAGGGTTAACAATACTCGGCAAAAGTTTTTGAGAAACGTAATGGTAGACTAGTGGCCAATGGTCTTAAGTCTAACGAACTATTTTATACACTACAAGTTCGACTTTTCACCTATTAACAGGCACGTCAGGACAGCTTTGTAAATTCCATCGAATAATGAAAATAAACGACTCGAAAATGTCCGGTTCCTGGAAAATTTATAGGAATGGAATATTTTATTGTCTATGGTGTCCAGAGCAGCCAGACTGAACAGAACTTTGGGAGAGGCTCTAAGTATGTCTGTCTAAAGTGGTGGCAATTATAACCCCTTAGAGGAGTCATAGAAAAAAACATTCTAAGTGTCCCCCAGAGTGTGTGGTGTAAGTGTCCAATGTCCCTAGAGAGCGTGGTGTAAGTGTCCCCCAGATAGAGTGGTGTAAGTGTCCCCCAGATAGAGTGGTGTAAGTGTCCCCCAGACAGAGTGGTGTAAATGGAAATTATTCAGAGAAAATGCCGAGTGTCGTAGCTACCAATAGTGATGATAGTAACGAGAAGCAGCGAGACACTACCCGATGATCAGGTCTCTCTAGGTCTTTTTTAATCCTGGATAAACAATGGTTGGTCCTCTGTCTGCTTAGGCTAATGCTGTCCAAACACGACCCGGGAGGTGGTGTGGAGGTTGTGAGGTGGCGCGGAGGTCGTGAGGTGGCGTGGAGGTTGTGAGGAGGCGTGGAGGTCGTGAGGTGGCGTGGAGGTTGTGAGGAGGCGTGGAGGTCGTGAGGTTGAGCCAGTGTTCACCTCACCAGCTGCAGGATGGTAGTGTAGGCTGCAGGAACCAGTAAAGGCGCCACCTCCGAGGTCGTGTTTGTACAGTATCAGTTTCAGCAGGATAGTTTCATTCTAATTGGAACAAGACTGAAGGAATGGCAATTATTTGTTTACTTCACTCATGAAGACAGAAATAAGAAGAAACAAAGGAAAAGCAATATGTCTTTGTCCTTTTGGGGAGACGTAAAACAGTCTCGCTGGAGCACACAAGAGATCAGGAGAGATGAGGGAGTATCAGAGTGAGAGCGGAGCGTCGCTGCTGCAGCTGTAAAGGATGAAGTGTTCCCGGTAAAACTGTGACGCTTCTCACAGATATTAAAGGAATAATGGTGAAGCTCAGACGTCCCTGTAGCAGACTTATCCTGGGTATTGAGGGACGACCCCAGCAGTAGTGTGAACAATGTGGGAGGTGGTGATGAAGACCACGACCCCAGCAGTAGTGTGAACAATATGTACACATACTACACACGTCCAATAAACTTCCTGGCATATGAAAATTAACATGAATCTTAAAAAAATAAAATAAAAATCCTAGAAAAGGAATTTAAAGTCATATTCTCATCGACTGTATTTCTGTAAAAGTAAATCCAATAACAGGACGATGTGGGAAGCTGCGCCCTCACTTCGCCCGAGCGTTGCTTAATAACACCACTTACCACAGATATTGGAATACCTTTTGTTACACGGCTATCATTACTCGGCGTCCATTTCATGTTTATATTTACACCAAAACACAAACACGTACATCCTTAATACCGTTTTATCTACTTCATGACGCTCCACGACTTTCATCTCTTTCCCGTTATTGAGTGGACGATTTTTTTACAACACTTTATTCTCCCTTGAGGATTATTGCCACACATTTCAGGTATTCCTCCACTCTCCTCTTGCGTTCTCCTTCATATATGTTATCAATTACGACTCTTCAACTGTTACATGGCTCTTTTGTTGTTGGGTAATATTGCATACTTTAAAATCAGTTTATTTATTGTATGTTTCTTCATTTATTCTGTAGTTATTATATCGCCGTATGACACTTTAGCTGTTAAATGGGACGGCAGATATTATATACTCCACTTCACCATCTGTATAACATTTCAAGCGTTTCGCAACATTTTATATACAAAGATTCGCTTCAAATGGTCAAACGAATTCGCTCGTTTTCAATGACACTTCAGTTCATGGATGACATATTGCCCGGTTCATCCCATCCATCCAACCAGTCATCCATCCATCCAACCATCCATCCATCACGCTCCACGAGTTGTGTGACTGTGTATAACTTAACGCATATCATCCTTACTCAGTTTATTGCCTTGACTATATATATATATTCCCTTGGTATTTCACCTTTAAAACAAACAAACGAACAAACAAACCCACCTGACGTTTAATTACATCTTCTCGTGAACTTTAACTCCACAGGTAAACAAAGAAGACAACACCTGGTCTGGCTGTGGAAAAGAAGGGCGAGGCAATTACAAACATAGGTGATTATATAATGGTCTTCTCGCCGCTACAAGACACAACACGTCACCAGCGGGAGGAACACCTGTGAGGGACTGAAAAACGTAAAAGAAACATAAACAATAAGACCCCGAGCTGTCTCTTGATAACATTTGAGAGTTAAGTTAAATTCTAGTTACTATTGATTCGGGTGATGTTTTAACCTTTCTCTCTGACACAAGATAACTAAAACTACGACGTAACGAGATCAACAGCAGCGTGTAAAATAGCACTACAAGTTAACGAACGAACAAACTATACTAAATAATTTTCCCGAAAATAAAACGAAGCCAATAATGAACTTTCGGCCTTTCAGTGTTGTGTATTTATTAAAGCACTGGACGACTGGGGAGTAAGTTATTGTTTTAACTGGCTTAACCTCTCTCGGTGCTATTAACTGTATATAACTGGTGAAGCTGACTGTAAGCTGAGGTCAACGATTAGTCTCGATAATCTTTAAACATTATCAGGAACCTGTGAATATCTGACGGTGGTGAGACGTCAGGAAGCGGCACTGCTGACGGCGTGGTGTGTCAGGTTGTTATGTTTGTGTGGGTGTTGTAGTGTCTGAGTGATTCATGGTAACAGTGTAGTTTACTGGTTGATGTGATATGAAGGTCTGAGGATCACTGGTATAACATGGTCTCTCTCGCTCACTGCCTCATACTTGTGTCTCTGAGGATTTGTTTTATTCTTTTGGTGTTTCTGTTTATGTTCAGTTTAAGTATTGACGTAAGTGAAGGTCGAGGTGTACAACATGGCCAGCACCGTGTGTACAGCTGCGTCATCTACAGCTGTGTCATCTACAGCTGCGTCATCTACAGCTGTGTCATCTACAGCTGTGTCATCTACAGCTGCGTCGTCTACAGCTGTGTCATCTACAGCTGCGTCGTCTACAGCTGTGTCATCTACAGCTGTGTCATCTACAGCTGTGTCATCTACAGCTGTGTCATCTACAGCTGTGTCATCTACAGCTGTGTCATCTACAGCTGCGTCGTCTACAGCTGTGTCATCTACAGCTGCGTCGTCTACAGCTGTGTCATCTACAGCTGTGTCATCTACAGCTGCGTCATCTACAGCTGTGTCACCTACAGCTGTGTCATCTACAGCTGTGTCATCTACAGCTGCGTCATCTACAGCTGTGTCATCTACAGCTGTGTCATCTACAGCTGTGTCACCTACAGCTGTGTCACCTACAGCTGTGTCATCTACAGCTGTGTCATCTCTAATGGCCTTTATCTCCCCCACTCACACACCTATACAGTGGTGATTACACCACTCTTAACAGCCTCCTCACCCTCGTTCTCTGCCTTAACACACCATTACCTCACACTCTACCCGACTAGCCGGGCCAGGTCTGAGAAGGTCTTATTGACATTCTCTCTTTCAAGTGGTGTACTCAGGCAGTCCCCCTGCTTCAGCCTTGCGGCGCCACTTTGCCATGAAGGAGATAATGAGGTGTTACGCCTCCCTAGACAGTTAAGTCTTTGCTATCCAAACAAAATTTATCAGCTATTTCCTGTTTACGTCGCCATCAACCCTTCCTCCCTTAATCAACTGACATAAAAGCTCACCAGTTTACATCTCAGTGGAGCTCTTCTGCCATATCCTTCACACTTTTACACACGTTCTAATGATGCAGAAGATATGAGAAACAAATTCTGTCAGTAGCAGACCTTCAATATCTAACATGAAGAAATGGCCATTTCTCTAAGTAGGTGGTGGCGTTCCTGCCTCCCACACCAGCGACGGAGCCTCGGTGATGGAGGTTTTGCCATAAATATGATCAGTGGCAACAATAAGGTCGATATAGAAGAAACCAACTAATAGACGGAAGACAAAATACAGACGAAAGAGTACTAGTAAAAGTGTATATACGAGTACATGTACGTGTCACGGGGTGTACATGTGTGGTGATCTGGCAACAGAGGTGGAGGAGGAGGTGGACTGTTCATTTCTTGCCGGACAACAAGTAAATAGTTGACGATCTACTCAGGGCAGTCAGGCTGGCAAAACAAACAACTCACTGACGTCTCTCCCCCTGACAGATCCTAATAAGATTTCCTCCAGAGCCCTGACACAGCCAACCCAACACACCTTAACACGCTAACCTTGAACACTCTTACACAAGTTAACATTACACTTGCAAGACTCACTATAACATAAACATCAGCTGTGTATATCAAACCCTCATTCATCATCGCTGACAGGAGCAGTAGCCCGGGGTTAACATATCGCCCCACTTCCTACCTCCCCCCAACCACTCCTCCCCACCAAGAGTCCAGTGTAAGGATTGTTGATCAACTCACCACGATTGATATAAAGTGTCAGTTGGAATTGGAAAGAAGAAACAAAGTGTTGGATAATGGCAACACCAATCAAGTGCCAGACCATATAAGGGGAGGGCGGAGAGGGACGGGGGATTGGCTTTGAACCTCTTCACACCCAAGACCTTAGACCCTTCGTGTGAGTAGACCCTCGCCAACCCCCGTAGAGCAGACTATACTATGTGGAGTGAGGCCGACAACACCCTGTGATCGTCTTCCTGTCCCCGACCACCAGTGTGAGACCAGGAGAGTTACACCGACCTCGCTAACACCACCAGCCACCTCGGGGTAGGTTCTCCTCATCCAACTGAACACCATAACAGCTGCATCAGGGGTAAGACCAGCACCTTTCCGACCCAGACTGTGGATGTTTACCACACACCTCAATCACTGTATGTAATTTGCATAATTTCTGTTCATTGCGTCTTTTCAGCCCTTGTCTGTTATTTTCTTTCAGTAAACCAATAATTATTATTATTACACACGCAGACATCATGAAGACACACACTGACACTCACGTTAACCCCCAGACAACAGAACAAGCCAAACACAATACCTGGTGTGCCTCGCTGACAACAACAATAATGGCTAAAACTTTTACCCAGCACAGGAACAAAGCGGGAAAAATAGAATAGAGGGTTTTGTGTTTTACTGTTGCCGGCCAAATTTAGCAACATATGCGGAGCTGGTATCGTGTAAACTGCACTGAAATGGTTTATATATACGTACGTACGTACGTACGTGTGTGTGTGTGTGTGTGTGTGTAATTTATTCTCTCCTCCCCCTCTTCCCTCTTCACACGGACAATAACAAGCCGTCCAGTATCCACTAATCTACACGTCAGAAGGTTCTTGCCAGAGTCACTATCAGGATAACGTCAGCGAACACAATCCTTATCACCTCTGCCCTTGACGTGAAGGACCCTCGATAGTGACCGTCCAGCCGTGCCCCTCACCGTTACGTCTGGCTACGATGGAGAAAATTCAATCTCTCTTACAGACGAGTATCAGGGCCTCCCCACCTCTTGTGTGAGCTACGGGTCGCCTTACTATACAGTGTCGGACCTGATCCTCTGTGGCAAATGGCTAAAGGAAATTAGATACGTGATGCAGCAGTTCTTATAGTTAGCTGACTCGGGAGGTCCTTGATGTGTGGTGAGGTGGTGCAGGTGTGGTGAGGCGGTGCAGGTGTGGTGAGGTGGTGCAGGTGTAATACAGTAGATGTTGAATGTTATGTGTTTTGTCTGACACTGTTGGTACGTTTCATAGATGTGACGGTCGAGAGAATACAACATCGCACGTAGCTGGTGTTAAAGCCGCGGTGCCCAAGTAGGTATAGGGCAGTGTGAGGGAGGGGCCGTAGGTGAAGGGCAGTGTGAGGGAGGGGCAGCATTGTGAGGGAGCGCCAGCAGCAGTGTGAGGGAGGGGACAGGTATAATGGCCCACTGTACACCACACGAGGGTAAGAGGGGAGAGGAGGCATATATATATATCTGTCTGGAGGGGGACAGAGAAGATCCAGGGCAGATAGGAATCCCGTCCATAGAGAATTAATGGCTGGGAGGTGTACGCTGTAGGTGAAGGGAATTGAACGCTGGTGAGAACGTCGCGGTGGACTAGATGGCGGTGAGAGGTGGGATAAGAGAGATAAGAAGAGATGAGAGAGAGAGAGAGAGAGAGAGAGAGAGAGAGAGAGACGAGGCGAATGTGTTTTGTATATATATAGTTAAATAAAGACGATATTGATAAAAAATGGCAAAAATGAGCTTCATATGATCATGAGGACTTACCAAAATTGTTTACTCACACTATTTTCATCGATTAGTTGTGGCCAATAAAATCTGATGATAATTTAACTACAATGAACCTGGAACGTTTGATGCCGTAAAACGTGGACTCGGCATTGAACTTGTGGTGGTTGAAAACTATTTACCTGGAGTGTGGAAACAAACTTCAGGTTAATATGTAAAAAAAAAAGATAAATATAAGCTAAAACAAACTTAATAATACAGCTCAAGGTGTGGGGAAGGAGGTCGAGGAGGTAATTACAGATCACAAGTGTTTGTCGTGTTTATAACCTTGATGTGATGGTCAGGTAGTAAGGAATGTTATTGGTTGACGTTGGCATGACAATATCTCTTCAGAATGGCAGTATTTAGGAGGAGGAATGAGAGAGGGGTAGTGATGTACTGTGAATGAACAGAGAGGGGAGAGAAGAGAGTAAATGACACACTGAGTGAACACCAAGGGAGGAGAGAGAAACTGATAAAATGTAAATATGTAAAGTAGAGTGAAGAGGAATGTGATAAACTGTGAACGAGTAAAGAGAAATAATAAGAGGCATAGCCGATGAAAACATTTGGTAAATAATGAAGGGTTAAAGACTTAGATGAATGCATATATAAAGTGAAGGTACTGTACGAGGCATGGCATTAAGAGTCACAGGGGGAAGTAGTTTGGCGAGTCACAGGGAGAAATCTGAGGAGTCATAGATAAGAGGGGGTAGCTACGTCATGACACACAAAATATTCGGCAAAACAAAACCAAATACAACAAAGATACTGTATTTCTCTCTCTGTCACACACACACAAAAAAAAGATTCCCAGAAGCAATATTACCACAGTTACTGATACTCCCCCCTTATGACTAAATCCGGCACCTGATTAATGCATTAAATTTACCTCCGACTATCTTAAAAAAAAAAGAACTCCATTTCACGTCATAATAAATTTGTAATACGTCATTAGCGAATCCCTTAGTGTGGAAAAATTTAATGCCTAGAATATTCAGATGTGATCATGTAAAGAAGATTAATATTAAACCAAAGTAATAAAAGTTTTAACATAGAAGGGAGTTTTGGGGGGTCATATATCCATTTCCTATATCGTAACCATATATTGGGATAGTTTGGGTTGATATGTGGGGATAGTTTGGGTTGATGTAATGGGATAGTTTAGGTTGATATATGGGGATAGTTTAGGTTGATATATGGGGATAGTTTAGGTTGATATATTGGGATAGTTTAGGTTGATATGTGGGGATAGTTTGGGTTGATATATTGGGATAGTTTAGGTTGATGTAATGGGATAGTTTAGGTTGATATATGGGGATAGTTTAGGTTGATATATGGGGATAGTTTAGGTTGATATATGGGGATAGTTTAGGTTGATATATTGGGATAGTTTAGGTTGATATATGGGGATAGTTTAGGTTGATATATTGGGATAGTTCAGGTTGATATATTGGGATAGTTCAGGTTGATATATGGGGATAGTTTCTGAAATAGGAATAGAGATGAATGTTGCGTTTTATTAAATTTACTGTAGCTTAATAACAGATGGTTTAGGAGATAAATAAAAATTATGTCAATTAAGTAATACTGGGATTTAGACACACACCTTATACCTGGCTCTGTGGTGTAAGGACTAGTGTTTAACTCCTGGTTGAGCCTTATATTTATGAGTGAATAATTTTCCCTTATTTTCCACATTTGAGACAATCACATGTTTTGCCTACATTAATGTTACTAGTTAAACGTGTGTGTGTGTGTGTGTGTGTGTGTGTGTGTGTGTGTGTGTGAGAGAGAGTGAGTGTGTGAGAGAGTGAGTGTGTGCGTGTGTTATACAACCACCCTTAAGAGAACATAAAAAAATACTACGTTTTATGATCATGATTTTTTTGCCAGGAAATAGTAAGAAAAGGAGGCAATGTGTTGTGTGTTTAGGAAGTTACCCGACGCCTGGCTGCCCCCGTGTATGACGTCACCGATCATGTTGGCTTAATATCTCGTGTTCGATGATTTGTGTGGGCGTTGTTTTCCTGTAGCGTGGGCGGGGATACTGTCCTGCTGTAGTGTGGGCGGGGGTACTGTCCTCCTGTGGTGTGGGTGTGGGTACTGTCCTGCTGTAGTGTGGGTGTGGGTACTGTCCTCCTGTAGTGTGGG